AATATTCAAGGTTTCCATATTTATCTTGATACTCGAATATTTGATAAATCTTAGGCTTCTAAATGCAATCATCTTCTAAGATTTTTTTTAATAAAGAAGATAATAATACTTGAAGGGCCTATGCATTCAGACTTTATATAGCATTAATCTATGCATTTTCCAAAATTTTCACAATGATTGCCGACTTTTACTGTTAATTCCTCATTGCAATATATATCATCTGGCTAACTTTAAATTTTACTTAGAGCATTCTCATAAACCCATTTAAAGTCAGAACCCTAGTCTATATAAAATGGCTAAGAACTAGAATCTACTCTAGAGGCATAATTGTAGAGGATTTATCCAGCACTTTCCTGTAACTTATAATATGATATAAGATTTATGTAATCAAATCTTCTTGGCCTATTTTATTATTTAAGATCAGGTATCCTTACATGAATCCAGTGTTTAGCACCCAATGTTTAGAAACTGCATTTGAGTAGAACTAAATCTCTCGCAGATATATTTTGTTAGTTTAATTATCATCTATGTTGAATTTCCATTTTTATAGAGTGTTTTAATAAAGGTTTTCGTTGTAAAAGAGGTCACTCTTAATTTTTGCCTAAATCCTCTTATCATCTACTAATTATCCATTTGATTAATTTTTATAATATATTCCTATCTGAGCATCAGCATAAGTATCACAAATTCTGAAGAAAAATATATTCCATCTATTGGAATTTTCGTCGTTATAGTTGAAAAGGATTGTGAAATTTTGTGTCTTTTTACCTTATAATTAAAATTTGATTGATTCCTCCATAATATCTACAACTAATCTGCTTGAAATACTCATTTTAAAAAGCTCTAAATCCGTAAAGTAAAGCCAATAAATGATGCTAAAGCACTTTAAATTTACCGAACTGATATCTATAGATATTTAATTAGTTAGCTGAAATATTCTCTCATAAGCTAAAAGAATTTAATTACTCAAAAATTGTTACATTAACAGTAGTCTGCACCATCTCTGTAGCTATATAATGAATCTCCATTGCATATTACTGGCCGTATTGGTAGAGCAATCCAATTAAAACCTGCTTTTTCGAAGTCTAGTTGCTATCCACTGACTTATTCTCTAATAGTTGATCCTATAGACTCTGTTAATGGATAATACTAGATAAGATATTTTTAGTCTAGAATAGTTGGAGAATAAGATCGAGCAGACTATCTTGCCTAACCAACCGATCTATAAAGTGAGTAGAGCTTCAAGTTTCTAATATATCCATTGTAATTTTTATTGCTTTGTCCAATAGTCAGAAAAGAATTATTTAGATATTAGGAATTGACCATATTTCCACTACCTTAATTGCACTTAAAGCTGGGTTAATTTTCAGAGCAATGATAGCTTCTATCAAGTCCATCGTCAGGTGATGAAGCAAATATCATACAATCCCATTTATTGAGCTACAAAGCTAGTGAATTTGGACTATTTAGTGACTTGGAGTTGAATTTTATCTTATCTAAACTTTGTACATTTATGCTAAACAACTGTGATAGCTTTAAGATTACAGAATCAGTTGTAATATCAGATGCGAAATATATACAGAACTCAAGTGAGTAGCTATTATTTAAAATTTTATCTGGAATTGGCAATAGATCCAATTAGCTTGAATTTTCTTTCAAGTATAGACCTTTATCCATGTACTGGTAAGATTTGAAATCATTAGTCCATACTTCCTCATTCCCGAGATATAGATCCCATGAATGATCCCAAACTATTTCGTCTTGAATCGCAATTTATGAAGGTAGAGTAATGTGATTGGCAAATACTGAGAAATCATATAAAAT